CACACACACACACACACACACACACACACACACACACACACACACACGCAAATGCTCATCTGTCACCATTCACTGTTACTGGCTCAGTCTAGGTTTACAACCACACAGAAGGTGGGCATTGTATTTTCACCCCATTTTATGGGAAGGGACCCAGAAGCTTGGAGGAGATAAGCGGCTTATTACAAACCTACACCTAAGAGGAGGGCAGAGGTTGGACTCCAGGCCAGGCCTATGTAGCCCTAGCTCAGGAACCTTAATCCCTGCCCCAAGCGAACGATCAACCTGTAAGGCTTCTATGTGCTCAAAACCAGGTGGGCAGGGCCTCCTATCCCAGCCGCACAGCCCCTCCTGGCCTCTCTCTCCTCCTCTGTGGTCTTTCCGAAGCATACGTTCCACTTTAGCAGACAGGGTGGAGGGGAGTCGTGGGGGTCCTGGGTTTCAAGATGCCTCCGAGAATGGCTCTGGATCTCAAGGAGCCCCTCGGCTGAGGTCCACTTAATCCACATAATCTCATGTGCTGAGAGGGCCACTTGGATGATAGGGGATGACAACCCATGCCTTGGTCTAGATAGAGTCTGGGCCCTTCTTATTCTTCCTGGCCCAGAGCTTCAGACAGCTTGGAGAGCCTTGGCTCAAGGTTCTCCCCTTCCTCACAGCCTGGCTCTCCTCCCCAGCCCTTCCTCCCCAGCCCTTTAAAGTCTTGCCTTGAGGGGGACTTACAGGGATGGGCCAAGGAGAAACTGCAATTTCGTCCTGGTTCCGCCATGTCAGTCTGAGAGTCAGGTTAATCCATAACCACAAATATTTGCTTAGCCCTCGGTGCTGAACCTCCCTCTCCCCAGACAAACAAACAAGAGCTTTTCTGATCCCAGCTCTGTAAGGCTTCATGTCCCCATGTCCTCTGCCTACCAAAGACGTTGTCTAGCAGAGAGGGAAGGAGGAAGAGAGGGTTGAGGATGTTCAAACTGATTGGCAAATTGTGGTGTCTCATTTAAGCCTCAACATGACTGGCTGAGAGAGGGATGGGAACCTTAAAAACAAAACAACAACAACAAAAACCGAACCAGGTATTACAGCTTGTTCATGGGTGCCACAATGGAAAATAATTCCATGTTTCACTAAATCTAGACTGTCACTGGTGATCATATGTTCAGAAGTCTTCGTTACTTGTCTATATTGATGGAGTTGGTGGGAGACAGGCCTGTGCTAGAACAAGGCTCCTGGTTGACCTGCCCAGTTTGGGAGCTAGTGAGAGAAAAGACTGGCTCAGGAAGATCTCAGGGAACCGGAAGAGAGAGGGGCAGAGGTAGCCTTGCGGTGTTCTACAAACTATCCCAAAGCACTTTTTTCCTTGAGGCTGTACCAGGGAAACCACCATGTCTTCCCTGTCCGACAGCTCTCAGTGACTTCACCCTTCTCCTCCACAAAGTCCTTCCTCTGAATGGAGAGTTTGGCTCCAAGTGGGTCCATCTGTCTTGGGCACAAGAGGGAGTCTTTGACCCAGGGAGCTAATCAGATTTTCCATTTCAGTACTGGGGAATAGGATCTTAGCGAGCTGATCAGGTGTGGGGCTGTATCCAGAAAACTGAAGGGGAAGGACACGTGACACAGACAGCCAAGCTTTTCCTCACCTGGAACGAGGTGGGAAAATACTGGGAGGGGTGAATTGGAGTCAAGGTGGAGCGGGAGGTACTTAGACATACACTTAGGGGAAGTGGAGAACCAGTGGCCATTTGTGAGCGGACTGTGGTAGTTTCCTAGAGGAGGGGCACTTAGTTCCTGGTCACTCAGGCGTTAAGGGCCAAATGCAAGACCACACATGGCCTGCTTGTGCACCCCGGGGAACTTTTTGTTTTTGTTTTGATGCAACAGCTCTACCCACCTTTCCAGGAACCTGCGAAATAAACGCTTGTTTTGTGTGCTCTTGCTCCCCTGCTGCCTTTCTCCTAGCCTGCCTAACGTTGTTGAGGATGCAGTGGACATGTGGCTTCCCTCTCCTTCCTCCACTTCCGACTTTGCTCAAAAGGTCAGTTCCCTGGCAAGTCTTGCAGAGATGTACACCCTGACCCCAACCAGCGTGACGGACTCTGCCCCAGGTGGCAGCGTGCAAACGCAGAAGCCTGGGAGCTGCAGTACTGTTGTGTTCATTGTCTGTGAGTCATGCAGACCTGGCAGGCTGCCTGCAGGAGATCCTTGCACTCCCTCAGGAAAGCTCCCTATAACTTCAGGCCTTCCGAGAACTCTGCACGATTAACCGTGTTAGCGGTCACCGACATTTTAAGAGTGTTGAGCCCTTTCAGGGGTTTTATTTTTATTTTATATGCACTGGCGTTTTGCTTGCATATTTATCTGTGAGAGCGTGTCGGATCTCCTAGTACTGGAGCTACAGACATGAGAATCGTGGAGGGTCAGCTGGTCTGTTGAGACTCCCTCGCTCCAAGTCCTCCATCAACCAGTGTCTGCTCCCTTGAGTGCATTGTCCCTGGCTCTGCTGTGGGGAAGGCAGGGCAGGAGAAAAACTGGACAGAGTCCAGTTAATAACTGGTGGTGGTGGCTGCAGATGTGATTCAACTGATAGATGCTTGTCCTAGCATGCAAAAAGCCCTCTCCTGGGTTCTACCCTCAAAACTGCACAAGGTAGGCAAGATGGTGCTCAACTGTGATTCCAGCACTTAGGTTGTAGAGGCAGGAGGTTCAGAAATTAAAGGTCATCTTTGGCTACGAGAAAATTTGGGGACAGGTTAAGCTATATGGGATGATGTCTTTAAAAAAAGTGTCAGAGGGAAGAGGAGAAGGACCTCCCTTATCAGTGGACTGGGAGAGGGACACTGGTGCGGAAGAGGGAAGGTGGGATTGGGAGGGGAGGAGAGAGGAAGGTACAGGGGGATACAAAGTGAATAAACTGTAATTAAAAAATAAAAATAATTAAATAAAAAAGTGGTGATGATGGAGTCAGTCCCAGTGGCATAAAAACTTAAAAAAAAAAAAAAAAAGTCAGATTCATTGAGGCATAGCTTTTGTGCAATAAAATCACCCCTTTTAAAACATTTATTTTTATTCATTTCCCTTGTTTTTATTGCATTTTTGAATTATGTATATGCATGTGTGTCTTTGTGAGCTAATGTGCAAGTGAGTACAAGTGCCCAAGGGATACGGAGGAGGGCGTCTGGTCCTCTGGAGCTGGGGTTATAGGCAGTCTTAAGCGGCTGCATATGGATGCTAGGAACTGAACACAGGTCCTTTCCAAAAGCGCTACTAACTCATGACCCTCTCTCCAGCCCCCCAAATCAGCCTTTTGAACGTAATGTCCAATCTGTCTTGACAAAGGTGTAGTCGAACGAAGTCCACAACTAAGACACTGCATATTCCTGTCATTCTCCGTTCGTTGCGTCCTGCCCTGCCCTTGATCACCAGGATCTGATTTCTACCCCCGATGTAAGTGGACTTCTCAAGAGACACCATTTTCACTGGCTTCCTTCACTCATGCTGGTCCTCTTTTCTTATTGCTGAGTTGCTCTGTTGCCTGAATGCAGCACGGTTCATTATCCATTCACCAGTTCTTGGTTCCTATGAAACACAGATGCCAGAACATTTGCATGTGGGTCTCTGTGTAGGCACACATTTTTCATTTCTTTAGGTAAATATCTAGCAAAGGGTTTGATGAATCGTGAAGTGATTCCATGTTTGTATTCACATCATTCTTAAAGATCAAATAATTTTCCAGATGGCCACACAAAAATATGCATGCCCACAGTGATCCACAGCTGTTCCACTTATCTTGAATTTTCGTTAGATGTTGTCACTTATCTTTATTTTTTTTTTTATCTCATTATTATTATTGAGTGCATGTGTGCACAAATGCAGGCATGTAAAAGCCAGAAGACAACCTTGGCCAACAGAGGACAACAATGGGCACAGTTCATTTTTGTAAAAAAAAAAAAAAAAAAAAATTATTAAAAAAAATCTAAAACAGGGTTTCTCATTGGTTTGGAACTCACTGCTTTAGCTAGGCCGACAGGCTAGTGAGCCCTGTGAATCTGCTCGTCTCCACATTGGCAGCTCAGGGATAAGATGCACATGCATCCCACTCACCCGGATTTGTGACCTGCCTTCCGGAGATTGAACTCGGGCCATCATGCTTGCAAAGCAAGCACTTTACCAACTGAGCCATAGCCCATTATATAGTGAGGTCTTGTCTCAAAAAATCCTCCCAGATGAGGGCTGGAGCGATGGCTCAGCAGCTGAGAGCACAGGTTTAATTCCTGGCACCCCCATGGTGGTTCACAGCCCTCTATAACTCCAAGAGCATCCAACGCCCTCTTGTGGTCCTTGCAGGCACGGCACCATGCGATGCCTATACATTCGTGGAAGCTAAACATAGATACACTTAATATTAAAATAAACATTAATTTAACCACCCCCACCAAACAAGCAACTGTAGCAAAAAGCTATCACTGAAATAGCCTGAATGAACGAAGGGGGGCATATGGTAGCTGCTCTAGCCCTACCTGGAGCAGAGGCAGATTCTGATTCTGCAGAGCTGATTCTTCCAGGTCCCCCCCAAAGTCATGCCAATAAGGAAATATCCCTTGTCTCAAGACTTTTGATTGAATACATTGGGTTTCTATCAAGTTTCAGTGAAACTATGCACTGAAGCAATAAAGATGGGAACTTGTCCACATGCCAACGAGATGGGCCAGCTAGCCCATCTGTGTGCATATGTGGCAAATAGTACAAATATCAAGTTGGCAAATTCCATCCTGTTTTAGAAAAGAAAACAGAGAGGCGTGAGCCCGTGTGTGTGTGGCACACATTAGAGACAGCTCTGTTGACAGGCAGGAGGGACAGGGGTGGGCTTTTACTCCTGCAGACAGAGACATTCAGAAATGGAAGGGTTCAGTTGTTTCTCAGCTGCCTTGGAACATGCATCAGTATTTAACGGAGTTTTCAAGTTTCAGAAAGGGAAGGAAATAGTTCCCTTTAAACACATCCTTTAAGGTGGATTTCATTATTACCAGACCAAAAAGGCTCTCCCTCCATCTTTCCTCTCTTCTCTCCTTTTCTTCTGATCTCTCTTTGTCTCTCTCATAATCCCTCTTTCTGGTTCTGTAAACAATATGTGAGGTGGGATCTGTGAGACATGACTGGGTCATGAGGGCTCAGCTCCCAAGGACTAATATGTCAATGGGTTTCTGAGAGACTGGTGTTGTCTTAAAACTGAGCCTCTTCCAGAACCCTTGCTCTGTCTGGCCATGTTACAGTGTAGCACCAGTCTCCCACCAAATGTAGACACTGTGCTCTGGAACTTGCCAACTGCCAGGACCGTGGTGGTTAATATTGGTGTTCAACCCACCAGCACCTAACCTCATAGGGGACAAACCTCTGGGCGTGTCTATGAAGGTGAAGTTAGCTGAGGAGACCCATCCTGAGAGTGTGCACCACAGTGGCCTGGGTCCTGGACAGAACAAAAGGAAGAAGTTGAGCACCAGTATCTGTCTCTCTCTGCTTCCTGCCTGTGGCTGCCATGAGACCACTGCCTCAGGCTCCTGCCACCATTCCTGCCACGATGGACTGCAACCTCAAAACTGAGCCAAGGGGGGGGGGGGACTGCAGAGAGAGCACTTAGAACACTGGCTGCTCCTCCAGAGGGCCTCGGTTTCATTCCCAGCACCCACATGGTGGCTCACAGCCATCTGTAACTCCAAGAAATCTGATGATGTCTTCAGGCACCAAGGACACAAGCGGTCCACAGACATACATGTAAGCAAAGCACCCATACACACAAAATAATAAGACAAGAACTGCACCAAAATGAGTCTTTTCTTCTTTATGTCTTAGGGTTTTATTGCTGTGGGGAGACAGCATGACCAAGGCAACTCTTATAAACTCTGAACGTGGCTTACACTTTCAGGGGTTTAGCCCATTATCGTCATGGTGGAAAATATGGCATTGTGGAGGCAGACATGGTGCTGGAGGAGCCGAGATTTCTACGTCTTGATCGGCAGGCAGCAGCAGGAGAACTGTGTGCCATGTAGGGCATAGCTTGAGCACAGGAGACGCCAAAACCCACCCCACAGTGACACACTTCCTCCAACAAGGCCACACCTCCTAACAGTGCCACTCCCTGTGGGTCAAGCATCCAACCATATGAGTCTGTGGGGGTCCTTCCTACTCAAACTACACGTTGCTTTTGTCACAGTAGTAAAACACGTAGCTGATACACAGATTAGCCTCTACTGTTTGTAAATTAGCCAGCTTCCGACATTTTATGATAGCTACAGAAAACAGACTCGGGCACAGTCGGGTTCAAATACGTTAAGTTAGTCTTCCAAAACCACCAGAGGATCTTGGAAGAGTCAAAAGGACAGAGTGACACCGTGAAGGGCAGCCGAGGCCTGGCGACTAGTGCTACAGACCTAAGCCACCATTGTTACCCACTGGCATTCTACCTGTGGCCATGTTCAAACCCTCCAAGCTTCTCCAGGACACTCTCCTTGGGGGAGAGTGGCAACTGGCCTGGCACCGGGGATCATCACCGTGTGAGCTGATTCTCCTGCCAGAGAATGTTTGCATTCACTACATTCACTTTGGTGGCTTTCGTATTAGTTTTATTTCTTGCGGCTGTGATAAAAATATCCCGACAAAAGCAACTTGAGGAGGAAAGGGCTTATTTGGCTCACAGTCCCAGGTTATGGTCCATTGTTGTGGGGAAGTCAAGGTATCAGGGACTTGAAGCAGCCAGTCCTACCGCATCCATAGTTAAGGCCACTGAGAAATGAATGAACAAAAGAATGTTTACGATCAGCTTACTTTCTCCTCTGCTATACAGTCCAGGAACCAACCTCAAGTGGGTTGACAGAACGATGCTATTCCTCATTGTCTTCCCTCATCAATTAACGTAATCAAGACAACAGTCCCCTACAGATGTGGCCAGAGGCCAACCTGATCTGAACAAGACCTCGCTGAGACTTCCTTCCCAAACGATTCTAGATTATGTGGGGTTGACAATTAAAGCTAACCATCACAGCTCTGCCAAAGAAGAATTTCCCAAAGGTCACAGGCGCAAAAAAAAAAAAAAAAAAAAAAAAAAAGTTATCCTACTGCATCTTGGGAGAGACTGACACGTGTTGTCAGGGAGTGTAGTGCTATCTGTGTGTTGGTTACACTCGTCATTCCCGTGGCGGGGTTTCTCTCGGCTCACCCGTTCAGTGCCGTCGAGGTGGGCAAGGCATGAAGGCATATGGCAGCAGCAGTGTGAGGCAGCTGGCCACATCGTGGCCACCGTCAGGAAGCAGAGAGAGACGAATGCTGGTATTTACCCGACTGTCTCAGGACCCCGGTACGGGGGAGAGTGCCTCCCGCATGGAAGGTGGGCCATCTCATCGCGCTCAGTCTACAAAGTCCCTCAGACACCCTTAAGGCTTGTCGTGTAGTTGATTGTAGATCCTGTTGACAGTCAGTACTCGCCATCACAGGTGTCAGTTAAGCCTTGTTGTATTTTCTTTTATTCTTTAAGATTCTTTCTTTCCTTCCTTACTCCCTCCCTTCTCCCCCTTTCATCGCCTCTGTGTGTGCGTGTTTGTGTGTGCGTGTGTAGTTTTTTAAGACAAGGTCTCACTATATAGCTTTGGCTGTCCTGGAACTCACTGACTCACTATGTAAACCAGGTTGTTTTTGAACTCACAGAGATCCACCTGCTTCTGTCTACTGAGTGCTGGGATTAAAGGCATGCATCACCACACCTGGCTATGTTCATTTTAATGTAAAGCCTAAGTAGCCAAGAATGAGTTAAATAAACTGCTATATCAGAGGAGAGGAAGAAATAAAAAACTAGGGTCTCTGTATATAGTCTACAAGTCCTCAAACTCACCATCTCCTTACCTCAGCCTGCCCAGTGCTGGAAATACAGGCACAGGCCACTATGCTCTGCTTATAATTTTAAATATATTATATTATACATGGGGAGCACAGTCGGGTCCTTGGGGACCCAGGCTGCTGCTGTGTTTAAGAGTCCTTCAAATTTTCCTTTTAAACCTCCGCCGGCAGTAAGAAATGTTTTACATCGCAACGAAGTCCCACAAAGCCCTCTTTAGTTCTATTTCTTCTTTTTTAATCATCATGATTAAAAATTTATATGCATACACATGCATATAAAATAATATATATTAAATATTTAGTGTATTATATATATTTATTATGTGCGTGTGTATGTGTGTGTTAGGTTTGAATAGTTGTATGCCTGAGTTGAATCTTTAACACTGTCCACCCAAACAGACATCCTGTTGTCTCTGTCATAGCCCTAGCCAACCTGGGAGGTTACAGAGTAAGAGAGGCTGAAGAGACCAGAGATAAATCAGGCCGGGTCCGACTGTATAGTGTATGTGTGTGTGTGTGTGTGTGTGTGTGTGTGTGTGTGTGTGTGTGTGTGGTGGCTGCGCCCTAGAGATCAGGCTAGAGGAGGAGGGAGGAAGGGAAGCGTTAGCCTCCATTGGCTACTGTCTTGCCTGCCCCACAGTGAATATTCGGGCTACACTTTGGTCCCAGGTGCGATCTGAACTCCCCTTCATCGACTTTAGAACCTCGACCTTCAGTGCCTAGGCCCCGCCTACAGGGGGGGGGGGCATAGCCGGCTCAGCCAGGCACCCCCCTGGCTGAGCGCCCTGCGCTGAGTCAGCTGTGAGTCAGTGTTCCCTGACCGAGCCATATCCTGCCCCAGGGGGACACAGAGAGCTGGAAAGAAGCCGACAGAGGAGCAGGGTTACCCATTAACCAACTAGTCGCCCCAGCCACTTTCTCGGAAGTCAGGCCTGCACATTTATTGCAGGAATGAGCCGTGTCCTCTCATCCGCAGCGCGGGGCAGACAGCCTTGGGGACCCAGGCTGCTGCTGTGTTTAAGAGTCCTTCAAATTTTCCTTTTAAACCTCCGCCGGCAGTAAGAAATGTTTTACATCGCAATGAAGTCCCACAAAGCCCTCTTTAGTTCTATTTCTTCTTTTTTAATCATCATGAACTATAAATTATGACTTTATAACCTACAAATTATGAATTTATAATCTATTTATAACCTACAGGTTGTAGCCTGTAGAATAGGGTCTACAAGACCATTCCCTGTTCCTCTTCCTGTTCTCAGCCCAAGCTGGCCTAACTTCTGGGTTGCCAAGGGATGACCTTGAACTTCAGTGCCTCCTGGATCCACCTTCTAAGTCTTGGCACTGAGGGCATCCACCACCACGCCTGGTTTTACGTCGTGCTGGGGTGGAACCCAGGGCTTGGTGCATTCTGTTTGTTAGTTCAGCGACATCTCCAACCCCGTCCTTACATGCAGCAGAGGGATAGATTTCACTGCTGGCCAGCCTGCTGAGGCTATCTGGATTCAGTTGCCAGAAGTTACTTTGACTCTTTCAACCCTGAGATGGATTCCAGATCTGCAGAGGCAATAAGTACTTGTTTGGTTGGTTTGATGCACAAGGGATCCTGGTGAGTAGGGCTGGAAAGAGGACAGTCTTTCCTTCCTTCCTTCCTTCCTTCCTTCCTTCCTTCCTTCCTTCCTTCCTTCCTTCCTTCCTTCC